AATTGTTTTGCTCGTACAGCAAAATAACATTTTATATATGCAGTATACAGTAATAATACAAAAGCCTTGAAAAGTTTCATTAAACAGCAAATGCATCGCTGTAGATAATATACCCGTACAGTATATAATATTCATCCTGCTGTACTGTCTCCCTGGTATATAAAAAAAAAGTGTCGTAATTTTCTGATGATGGTGGTTTAATTGTGAAATCCAGTAATCATTTGATTTCATAGGAAGGATAAATGGTTTTAGACGGTGTCAATTTCTTGTATATTAAAATCCTATACAAAGTAATTTGATTAGTATTGTATCATAATTCAGCCCAATGAGTGCTTAGAAGTGTCACAAGATCATGAACAAGACAGACTGGCTGATTTGAAGCATCTAGCCTGGAGCAAGTTCTGAATAATTCCTGCATGTATGTTCACCCTGTGTGAGCTGCACTAAAAGCTGACACATCCCAACCCTAAACTGATACTGCTACTGGTTACTTGTGGAATTCCAGTCCCACTTGTCAAGTGACAACATGACTGGGTTCAGACTAGCAATGCCTGTGTTCCAAGAAAGTGTCTGCAGTATTTGAGGCAGTCAGCAGCTCCATATTTAATTCTTACGGTATTGAGTACTTCAAGGGCAGAATGCAGCTACAGCCATATTTCAAAGCAGATTGGATCTACAGTAAATCCCGTTATATGTTCTCCTACAAAATGGTCACTCTCAACGTGACTGACTCACACAGACTAAATATACACTGTGCCTACTCCTACCCATAGTTCAACAGTTGTATCTGATCTGTTTTTACTGTTTCTACTTTAAAACCCCTCTGAACATATTTAAGTTCTGTCAGCTTGGTTTGGCTGTGATTTTGTGTTTTTCTTTGAACGTGCTCTAAGGCTTAAATGGCGTCTGCTGTCAAAATTGGACACTTTGTTCTAGGTGATATCTCATGGGTACTTTGCTTGGATGAAACATATAAAAAAATCTCATCTATAAGATTCTTGGAGGGACACTTGGGCCTTTAACTCACAAGCATAGAATGTAAATACAGAGGAACACATTATATTTTGTGATTTCACTACTGGGATTAATAATGACGATACCCATTCATTTAAATATACAGCCCTCCCTTTTAACTGCATTAATTATTGTAGAAGAAGATGCATTAGTGCTAAAATAAAGACGACTGTAGCATATTTTCATGTGTTTGTCAGCTTATACAAAGTGGAGTCACATATTTACTTATAAGAAAGTCACAGAGGAGAACCACATTGAGAGGAATTTATGCTATTAAGCTTTATTATTAAGTCCGAGAAACAAACATTGGAGACAACAGAAACAACAGAGGTGTGTGATTAGGGCAAAGCTAAATCCTTACGTTAACCCAATGGAAGGGGCGGGCTTCGAACTTGCAGACGTTAACGGCGTTTTTCTTGTGGAAAGGCATCGTAGAATCATTTGTCACAGATTTTCTAAGTGCTTTACCTAATACAGGGGGAGCCTATCCTGACGAGCAATGGGCGCAAAGCAAGATACAGCCTGAATGGGATACCAGTCCATTGTAGGGCAAGAATCATTCATGATCTCAGTTAAATGTATTGAAGAAATTAATAATTCAATATTTTGGATTTTAATAAGCAGAATGATTCCATGATTTATTGTATTTAACAGAGAGGCAGGCAAAAGCAGCAGTCCTGGACTCTACTGTTCAAATACTCCATTCTCTTGCTTGTCCATAGACCTGAACAAAAATGCTCTATAAAATGTAAAATCCTCATTATGCCACATGAAAGGGGAATCACAAACATTCACACAGAATGTTTTCTCAGCATTGTGCCATTTTCAGCATATGGACCCGTTTACGTGGATAGATTAATAGGAATGTTAGTCTGCATTGCCCTTTCCAAAACGTTGAACCTAAAAGTGTCAGTAGTTTCAGTGAGAACAGAAATGTAGCTTTCACAAAAATACAGTACAGTATATTCCATCAGAAAGATGACACCTATACCTTTTGGTAAATAGTTTATTTTATATATACAATGTGGCAGAAATGTAAGATGAAGGCAAATGTTTATGGTTATGTAATGTTGTTTGTAAACCCTTTCATCGCTAAATAAAAAGTTTAAAAAAATAAGAAAGATGAAATCTTCCGCAGCACCACCACCTCACCACAAGGCGAGATGTTGTAATTTCTGCTCTGGTCGTTGCTGTGTGTCACTTATTTGTCCTCGTACGTCACTTCTAAGTAGTAATGTTTCTAGATTTTTTTCAGGTTCTGTGCCTCCTGCCCAATCAGGGCTTGCTTAACTTCTGAGATAAAAAAAGATGAGGATACAGGGTGGTATGGATGATTTATACTCATTTGGTAGTGACTTCTTGTTAAAAGCCAACCATCTTATTTGGTGGTCATTTTAAGCAATATGAATAAATGAGCTTATTTTTAACATTCATCACATAAAACTCAATTCAATCCAAGACTCATATTTGCACACCAGCAAGACAAAAATGGACTTTTCCAATATGCCTGTCTTGTTCTTGATATTGCTTTTATCTTTGTGTACTGTAGTGCAGTATGATGTCATGTGGCTCTGTATACTGTAGTGCGATACGATGTACAGAGCTGTATATTATGGTATAATATGTACGAATCAGTGTACTGTTCTGCAGTACAATCAGTATAATGCCATACTGCTATGTACACTATCAAAGTCAAAGTTTATTTATCAAATGCATGACAATATGGCAGGCAGCAGTACTTGCTGGCAATGAAATGTCTTTTTCTGCGAGCTCGCAAAAATCACAAAATTCACAAAAACACAAAAATCACAAAATTGAGGTTACATTTTTTTAAATTGAATAAAACTATGGTGCTGTGCGTTGTAAAATTCTGTATGCTGTAGTGCAGTATAATGTTATACAGCTGTATATACTATAGTGCTGTGTATTGCACAATCTTGTATATGTAGTGAAGTATGTCATACAGCTGTATATATTGTAGTGCAGTGTGTTGTACAGTATAATGTCACACAGCTCTGTCTCAATGGAACCTCTGCTTTGAGTTGTATTGCTTTGATCTCCATAACTGCAGGTCTTATCAGGTTTGGAATTGTTCTTTGCTTAGGTAATAGCATTCCAAAGGTTTTCTGTAAGCCTTCTGAAAGTGGTCCTAATGGCTATGTGCATTTTGTAATTTAAATTTAAATGTGGATTTTATAATGTGGTGGTGAAAAAACAAAGATAACAAAGCATGGTAAATGTAGGCTCCAAATACTCAAAATACTCTGTTTTCTGCGGCTGGAATTGCACCGAGATAATTATTTTCTCTGCATACACTAAAGACCAAAAATGTAACATTAACAATGAGGATAAAGGCCTGAAAGGACTCGTTGCTTTACTGACTTCATTACCTATTCAACATGAGTGAATAGCTTATTCTTTTCTTTTTACGTCTTCCTCAACAACAGCTTAATTAGAGCATTCCTGATCCTAGGGAGTCTTGTTTTCTCATTTACGTACAGCTTTCCTTCAAAAACATTTGCTCCTTTGTTTCTCGGTTTGAAATATTTGGAAAGGCATAAGTTTCATTATGGAAATTACAGAGGTTCTTTCAGGTCATAAAAGCAATACTGTTTGACTGTTTATTGCTTCTTAGATGGTGGTACTAAGGGTGGCACAGATAGTGCTCCTGTTTAATAGGTTGAAGTCTGAGCTGGGTTACCCTATGCGGGCACTTGGCACAGAGGTGCAGTGTTTAGTATTGCTGCCTCACAACTGCGGTGCCCTGGGATCAGTTCCTGAGGCGTTTTCTGTGTGGAGTTTATATGTTATATATAGGCATGGGTTTCCTCTAGTAGCTCCAGTTTTCTCCCACAGTCCAAAGACATACAGTACTAGCAATTTAACTGGCTTCTGGGGAAACTGGCCCAGGTGTGAGTGTGTGTGAGTGTCTGTGTAACGAACAGTTCTTTCCAGACCCTATGGGAACGACACAATCCAAAGAAGTGGGAAACACTAGGAAAAAGTAATGCAGGGATACGGGGCTGAAAACAGGGGGGGCGTATCCAAAGTGCGCTGGTGCACGGGGAAGGTGTGGCCAAGGCAAACAATCCAAAAGTAATCCATAGCGGGAATCCAAAAACACAAGTCCATAGCCAGGTGATCCATCCAAACAAGGAATTAAAAACACGAACCGGGGCGGAACCGGCAGACAAGGAACAGGAACAGAGGTTAAAACCTTAACGGGACCAGGCGCTTCCAGGTCCCGGACTCGCACGGTGCAGAAACCAGATGCAGAGCCAGGCTGAACGTCAGCGCCTGGCTTTTAAGGTGGGCTGGGAAAAGGGGTCAGGTGCACAGAATTAAGTCTGAAGTGAAAGGGCTGGAGCACCCTTAAGGAGGAGGGACTATAATTGTGACAGTCTTTGTGTCTGTCTGCCCTGTGATGGACTGGCAGCCCATCCAGGGTGTACCCTGCCTTGCACCCTTTGCTAGCCAGGATAGGCTCCATTGCTGGGTGGACACGCACACACTTTTCCCAAAAGCCAGTTAACCTACCAGTATGTTTTTCCTTCCTTTGGAAGGAAACCAGAGCACCTGGAGGAAATCCATGCAAACATATGGAGAACATACAAACTTCATGCAGTTTGTACCCCAGATATTAAACCAAGAGCCCCAACTCCATGAGGCAGCAATGCTTACTATAGTGCTGGCATGCCACCCCTTTGAATGTAATGAGTCCCGCTTAGTTGTGAGAAATGTTTTGGCCTTATGTGCTAATTTATGAAAGACCTCAGAAGCAAAATTCTTGGATCTTCCCCAGAAATTGTATTTATTTCCCCAGCCTTCCAGCTCAAATTGTCTGGGAGGCTGCGTACTAAGCATTAATGGTGTTGATGAAAATTAATTCCATATTCCGAGCGTGGCACGAGACCAAGATCGGTGAGATTGTGATTCTAAAATGTACTTTTTATCCTTAAATGTCTTTCTGTTTCTTTTACCTCAAGGCTGCCTCTTCGAGAAACGTCTGTGTTCGAGACAGGAGCTTTGCACCAATGGTAAGTGTCTGTCTGAGTTATTAATGTGTGACTTGTGGCCAATTAAAGTCAACTAAGGCTGATAACGGAACGGAGCACAGTCTTTCATAATCAGCATCAAAAAACTGTGCCAACCCCTAAGTGAGAGGAAAGAGATAAGGGGCACTCCAGCTGCCCTTTTGTTCTTAATGAACACTGGGCTGAATATTCAAAAACTGCAGGTTTTCCAAGGGAGCTTTGAAATGAAGCTACTTCTCCATGTCCCAGGATCTGCGCTTTAGTACTATAGACCTCGGTGCATATGGGCTACCAGTGTACTTGAAGAGTAGACTTGTTTGGTGGTGTTTTCTGTAGGTGCATTCTGTTAGTTACAATTTCTGAAAACATTTTAGGAGCATTCCTCAGGGAAAAACTCTTCCCCGCGAAAGTTTTTTTTGTACATTTTAAGCCTAATACAGGAAATCCCTTCAATGAAGAGACTGACTAATGTATTAATTGTTGTTTTTTTTTTGGAACACCTGTTCCAAAACTTTAGAAGATGACTAAGTATCCAAGTTCAGTTGATGTGTCTGCTACTATGTTTGTAACACTCTGATATAGCCAGGACTAATTGTGAAACGGCATACTGTAGAAGCTTCCTTTCCAGACAAGTCGAATGTGTTGAGAGTAGTTGAAAGACGGCCACAGAAATCAAAGTCCTTTCCCTAATTATGGTCTCGGTAATAATTTTCCCTAAATATGATTCGGAGGCTTCATCTGAAAGAATAACACACACATTACAGCCAGTGGCACTCCTTATTTCTGTAAAATGTTTTGAGTGAAACAAGTCATTCACCAGGACAGTCCAAGAGTTTGGCATTCACTTAACCAATTTGTTTTTCTTCCTTTTTCATTCCATAGTGTGCTTACATGATTTTGAAGCACATCAACACCCCCCTCTCCCCACACACACGTACACTTGTCACTGGTCTGAGTACATTATTATTAATAAGATAAACTAAACGTATTTCAAGGTTTAATCTGAGTTTGATTTTGTTTTTCTTTGTCTGTCAAACTTGAAAAGCTCTCACCACACACGATTCTCACAGAAATAAATCTAGACCTTGGCCTCTGT